CGTAAAGTGTTTCTCTGGTTTTCTAGTAACCTATCAAAACTTAACCAGCAGAGTGTATCAACCTATGTCTCAGATAACCTCTGGGAGAGGGAAATTACTAGAAGTGAATTTAAGTTTAGATTTATATAGATGAGCAGACATACAGGGATGTGTGTACACATACATAAGAACACACACACACATTATATATATACACACCCACACACATCCATCCCTTTCTTCATGCTTTCTATATAAGGAAATAATATGCATATCCTTTATATTTTCATGTAATGTCAGTGGCTGCAACTGTTAGCACAGGATATTCCTTAGAAAACAAACAAACAATGAACTAAAACTTATTTTAGAGAAGTTTATTTTTAAGACTAATGATTTTCTTGTAGAATTCTTTTTTTTCTGCCTAGGTACTTTTTTCCCTCCTTGAATGGCATATTTGCAAGTACAATTTCATCTGCACAGAGGAACAATAGCTTTCAGTTGCACAAAGGATTTCTCCCACCCTGAATCCAAACCACAATGCCTCTTGCTCTGATAATAGCTTCTGAAAAGATTTTGTAATGCACAGAATTAATACATGATTATTTCCGCCTCACTTCTCTCATTTATTAGATTCTATAGTGAATTCCAAATTAAAAATAGCACCTCTTGAGTTTCTTAACGTTCTAATATTTTGAAACAAATCATATTCTGAAGTTCCTCTTTTTGCCCATATTTACTAAGAAATCTTCAATTTTTTTATTATTGTTCAGAAACAAAGCTGTGTAATATAAATGTAAAAATCGAAGCATGAAAAAATTGCAAAAAAAAGATAATGTTGTTTAAAAATTAATTGTAGTGATTTTTTCCATTGCTAACTGGAAGAGTGGTCAGGTGCAGTAACTGGCAGATTGGGTTTGAAATCTTTTTAAATTTATGAAGCAAAACAAAACCTCAACTTTAGTTAGAATTTTGCAAGGACCAGAATCATGCCCTATGTCCTAAAGTAAATAATGAAGTGTAATTCTGCTGAGGCATCTGGATGGTGAGCTTCCACATCACTGCATGGGGAGCTCCTCTCTGCTCTTACAAAGACTTTCTCCAACACTTCCAGCATAGGTGTGAGAACTTATTTACATGAAAGCGTACATTAAATATTTACTGACATTTGCCTGGAATTCGTTTGAAATGTCGACTGTTCTGCTGCATCATGGGATGACACCGCGGAACAGGACGCTGCTCTTTGATTAGAACAGTGATTTGTGACTCCAGTGTTATGGCTGCTCTAGTTAATGACTCACTTTTGGGTGTATATAAAATGTGTTCTGTCGAGGGACCGGGAAAGCCTACATGAGATCAGACACTAAGAATTTTCTTTCCTCTTAAAAAACCCACAGACCCTCAGAGAATCAGTGTACTTCAAGTAAACGCTGTGTGCGTTAGGTGTGCTGTTGTTCTTTGCTTTCTAGCATTTAAGCTAGGTCGGGCTGTTTCAAAGCAAGGCTGGATGAACATCTCCAAAGCCTCTTCATTCACATTCACTTTCTAAACCATTCATTTAGGAATTAGTTGTTTTTCCTTCATTGGGACTTCATTGATACTCCACACTTTTCGAAGGAGAAAATCATTCAGAGGAATGTCAATATGATCTCTTATGTGAAGTTTAAAAAATGCATACTTACATGTAGCTGAGTTTAATGTTTAATATTTAATTGCGTGTAATTTATGTGGTCTATTTATTTGTTAAGCCTTGGGTGGGGAGGTAATTTGTTTTTCTTGTTATGCAATAGCTATTGTTCCCCTTCCACCCCAGGCACACGCACCACGGCAGCCCCAACCAGCACAGGGAGAGGTGTTCTGCTTTAAAAGACATCCGACTGTAAATGTCAAATTCATAAATATTTAAACACTTTTCTTTCAATTTCAAGTCAAGGCTGACAGGACGCCTCTAATTAACCCTAGGCTCCGTTTCAGGCTGGGGCCTTATTGCAGGGAAGAATCAGGGGGTTAGGCGAGGTGGGGAAATCTGTGCTCTTGGTTAGAGGCAGCGGGGCGGCTGGGAGGAGAGGTGGGAGGAGGGAAGGAGCTGGTAACTAACACGTCGGATTAATTTTTACCCGTTTCATAATGTGATGTTTGGTCACCGAGCAGGATGAAAGGGCAGCGGGTTCCTCCAGCTGCCTTGGGGACAGTCGGGGCTGTGTCCTGATGGGACGTGCTTGGGGGACCGGCTATCCTCTGCGGTTCGGGATGCAGGGA